GAGGATCGCTCAAGGTCAGGAGTTCAAAACCAGCCTGAGCAAGAGTGAGATCCCGTCTCTACTAAAAATAGAAAGAAATTAATTGGCCAACTAAAAATATGTAGAAAAAATTAGCCGGGCATGGTGGTGCATGCCTGTAGTCCCAGCTACTCGGGAGGCTGAGGCAGAAAGATTGCTTGAGCCCAGGAGCTGCGCCGTGTGAAAATACAGAAAGATAATTCTGAATTCTCTAAAACAGCAGAATCTGAAGCTATACTCGATCACACGGCTTGTCTCCTGCTGCTTCCTATATCTGCCAGTCACTTGTCTCCAAGTTATTTGTCGGGTTGCCACGGATTTAGGCGGAGCCTCAATGGATGAAGGCAGTTAAAATGGTGTAAGCCATGCCGAGTAGAATCCTTGTAGGTTTAACGTCTGCCTTTGCTTTTCTAAACTGCTTTCCGAAACGTGGCTTAATGCTGGAGCAACAAAGAGGGCGTTAGGCAGGATCTGCAGTCTCCTGCTCGCGCTCCCGCCCGACGTGGCCTTCCGTCCGTAGAGTTCCACTCCCGTCGTAACCCCTGGTCGAATCCGGCGCTCACGCCGGCGCGCCTTCTAAGGAAGCTGACCCAGCCCAGTCGGACGGCCGTCCCGTCCCAGCGAAGCCGACCAGCGGCATAGTGCCTGCGTGGCGCGCGCTTACTCACCCAAGACGCAGGAGCCACCTCGCCACACGGTGGCCGGGACGAGTGGCCGCATGTGTCAGCTGCCGGGGATCAGGCACGTAAACATTTCACCTGCCAGGAAACTGCTCGGGCTGACTGCCTGCCGAAGACGCCATGGTGGCTCACATTGCCCTTGGTGCGGTGGCTTTGTGCGATGACTTATACGGGGAATGGACTACAAAGTGGCGAGTGTGCTCGGATGGCGCGCCGCTAACAGGTGCCACTCGCGCCGGTGCCGCAGTTGAAGAGAAAAAAGCCGACAGCAAAGTGCGCTTTGCTCACTCGAGCAGGCTTTAAAATAAAGTGCTGAGGCCGGTCGGACGACCTGCTGAATAACCATGCCGCTCTGGCACGTGCTGGGACCGCACGCGACTTGCGGTAGCTCAGAGTTCGAGACCAGCCTGAGCCCGCAAGAAGTGAGACCCCCATCTTACTAAAAATAGATAAAGTGCCAAACAACTAAAAAAAATAGAAAATATTAGCCAGCCGATGGCTGGTGCTGCCTGTACGTCCCAGACTCGGCGGAGCTGAGGCAGGAGGACTTGCTTGAGCCCCAGGGGTGTGAGGTTGCTGTGAGCCAGGGCTGACGCCACTGTGACTCTAGCCAGGCAACAGCAGTTAGGCTCTCTCAAAAAAAAAAAAAGAAAGACAGGAAAAAAAAATGGTTGGAGTGCATTGGACATGAATGAAAGGATGAATAGCGTAGCCCACGGGAACTTTTCAAGCAGGCGGATCAAGCTGAGCCCAAGTTCTCTCCGAGCAATCGGAAGAGATAAACAGGAAGATAATTCTTCTTTGCGAATTGAGAATTCCTTGCGTGCCCCGATGGGATGTGGGTAGAAGATGCGGTGGACCAAGTCTGTGCATCCAGAAAAACTCTGCAGAGAATTTCTCAAAACATCTGCGGAACAACAGAGGGGAATAGAGAAGATAGAACCTATTGTGGTCGTATGGATTTTTTGTTATGTCGCAAGATGCAGGTCGGCGGGTGGATGTGTTCTTGGAGGTTATTTTCCTTCGTCATCCTTCTTTGAAATCGCTCCTTTTCCTGTTTTGCTCCTCTTCCTTTGCCTCCTGCCCCCCGATTGTCTTCTTCCTCATCTTCGCGCGCGGCACGGGAGACGCCAGTGAGCGCCAACCCTGGGCAGAGCGGCAGCTTGAGCGAGAGCGCGAGAGCGCGAGAGATGGAGCGGAGCAATTGAATCTGGCGTGAGAAACTGAGTTGTAGCAGTTTTCAGGTCTTGGCAAAAAGTGTAAATCTAGGTTCACTTGGGTTTAAAACCAAATTGAACATTATTTTATTTTGTTATTGTTTTTTTAGAGCGGCAGACTAGTAAGCCATGGGCACCAAGCTGAGCATTTGTAAACTGTTGCCGTAAGCCAGAATAAAAGCTCAAGAATGAAGAATACAAGCAATTGGGGATCACAAGAGAACATTGGCCCATATGGATTGTATTATTAGTTTTTTTTAATTCAGGAGTTGTATTTTTTCCTATTATGGGGGGTACAAACTTTTGTGTATGATAATGCATTTGGTTCCACCAAGCCAGCACAGACAAGCATCGTCCTTCGCCCATACAGTGCTGCTCGCTCCAGATTGGGTTTAGCCACCCCACCGACCGCCCCGGCGAGTTCCCACCGCGTGTGAGCACCTCGTGCTGGCCGGTAGTGCCCGATTTGATGGGGAGTACACGGGTGCGTTGTTTCTCATCCCTTGTGCACTACCTCGCATTTAGAAGGATGGCTCCGGCTCTACGCAGGATAATGTGAAGAGGGGCTAGATCACTACTGTGTTTTTGTAGTTGAGTAGAACTCATGGTATACATATACCACGTCTTATTAATCCACTCGAGTATTGATGGGCACTTTGGCTGTTTCTACATCTTTTGCATGTGAACTGTGCTGCTATAAACATTTGAGGGCAGATGTCTTTATTATAGAATGCCTTTTTTTCCTTTGGATAGATTGCCTAGTAGTGAAATTGCTAGATCAAATGGTGTTCTATTTTTAGGTCTTTGAGTTATCTTCGTATTACTCTTCCACAGGGTTGTACTAATTTGCGGTCCCACCAGCAGTGTAGGAGTGTTCCTATCTCTCCGCATCCAACGCCAGCATTTGTTGTTTGGGGACTTTTGATGAAGGCCATTCTCACTGGAATTAGGTGATCTTCATTATAGTGTTTTGGTTTTTTTTGAGACAGTCTTGCTTTGTTGCCCAGGCTCAGAGTGAGTTCCGTGCGTCAGCCTAGCTCACAGCAACCTCAAACTCCTGGGCTCAAGTGATCCTCCTGCCTCAGCCTCCCGAGTAGTT